TCTATCAGGCATAGCAGCACCTTTGACAGCCAACAGCATGCTGTAGGGCAGAGTGAGCTGTGGGAACTAAGGTATAGATGTAGCCTTGAGGCTATTCTAACTTGGCCCCTTCTCTTAAAGTCAACAAGGTCCAATACATTTTCAGTATTGCCATTCTGCCAACAACAGGCACTGACTTAAGCATTCCATCTGCTTTGTATTTTATCTCATGTCATTATTGTTTTGAAACATGTTTTTAAAAAACACTAAAACAAACACAGACATACAATTTCAATATGTTGTTTTCCCTTTTATTAATACCATGGAAAAAAGAAAATTAACTTGATCAAAAGAGTGAACCCACACTGGCTTCTATATGTGAGCTTTTGTTTTTTGTTTTTATTGGAATGCTTTTCTTTTTTTCTTTCTTTTTTCTTATCAGTCTACATCATGCTTTGAGGAATGTGGTTTTTTACCTCCTCCCCTTCCCTTTCTGAGGGTAAAGCAGCACTTATTTATCTTCCAAGGCCCAGCTTCCATGTCACTTCCTTTATGAAGCCCCTATTGACACATCTGCCATGAGGTAAACTTGATCACTCCCCTTTTTTTGTGGCTCTACTGTGCCTTGAAAGCTTCCACCTTAGTAACCACAATTTTTATTGCACGAATATATTTATCCAGGCTAATCAGGTCACTGTATGGTTGATGGCACAGGGAAACAAATTCCTAAGTGCCTACCGTGTGCTACATGGGGGCACACAAAGCAGCATCGTTGTTCACATCTGGAATATTATTTGCTCACATGCCGCCCACTCAAACTCTACCCATTTCCTTTAGTTTGCCTCAAATGCCATCTTTTCCAAGAAACTTCTCTGAATCATTCACATTAGTATGAAAATCCCATTATCCTTAAATGTAGTGGTACCTGCATTTCTATTTAACATATTTCTTGCATTATCATTATTTACTTGTATTATAGTTATAATTATTTACTTGTATTATAGTTATAATAATTAAAATTATTTACTCCTCCTCCCGCATAGAACTGTGAATTTCTTGAGAGCAGAAGCAGTATTTTATTCTTTTTTTTGTTGTTGTTCTCGCTCAGTGCCTGGTGCCTTGCTCTTTGGGAGTTCATTGTTTAGAGAAGAAGGTCATAAAATACATATTTAAAATATAATCTTAATTTCAGGTTTAGAGATCTATACAGGGCATCATGAAAGCACTAAGAAGAGGTAATTTTAACCTCTGTGGCTTAAACACATAAGGGGTTTTGTTTGGCAGAAGGTGCCCTAGAGCTTTTGGTGACTTAGGAGTCACCAATGTTATTATCTTAAACATTCCTATATCAGCATAAGTCATTTTGGTGCTGAATTGATGTAGGGCCTCAGGCATAACTGGCATGGTCTGAGAGAGGGGAAGAGAGCTGTGGTCCATGTTTCTTAGAGAAGATGGGGATTTTCTATGGATAAGGGCTTTCTCATTCTGCCATGAAGTTGTCAGGGCTCTAGGGCATCTAAGAAATTTGCGAGGTGAAGATAAGGGCGCCCTTGGTACTAGACTGTTTGGTTTCTTTGCAGGCCAGAGAGGTCCTTTTTTTTTTCTTTGAAGAAAAAGATAAAGGCAAACACAGCATTTGAGCAAATAAAAATTACCCTTGAACTTACTTTTACCTGATGGGCTACTATGCCTGCTTTTGATAACACCTAAATCTTTCTTCTAGGAAATGGTGCATGCCACCTCTACTCATATTTAATTGGTTAGAGAAGTTACATGGTCAAGCAGTGAAAGGGCAGCAAATGATAGAGACAATGATGTCATCTCCAATGACTACATGGAGCCCTAGTCGTTTGTTTCTGAAGATAAAAGACCAAGAAGAGGTCAAACAAAAAGGAGGCTTGTAAATGTAACTTTAAGCAGGTGAAATAAAAGATGAATCCGTTGAAAAAGGCAATTTAAAAGCAAGAATTAAATTTTTTTATCAACAAAGTTTGAAACCTTCAGAAATCAAAATATATATAATGAAGAAAATTTTGCTGTCTTTTCTGACAGAAGAAAAACTAGATATAAGGAATTAAACAACCATAGGAAAAAGTGCCTTACTTGAGACGTAAGCCTAGAGAAGTCATATTTTTACTTACCCGAATTGATTTTGGCAGTCACAGATGGTATTTAAGGGAGCAAATGGATCCGCGATGAGCATTTGCATGATTCAGAGTCATTATTCACACCTGGAATGTTATTTGCTCACATACTGCCCACCCATACTCTACCCATTCCTCTAGTTTGCCCCAAATGCCATCTTGTCCAAGAAACTTTTCTAAATCATTCCCATTAGTATGAAAATTCCATCTTCCTTAGATGTAGTGGTACCTGCATTTCTATTTAACAGATTAATATTGCATATTGCCTTGTATTATAGTTATTTACTCCTCTCCTCCCCCCAGAGAACCATGAGTTCCTTGAGAGCAGAGGAAGTCTTTCATTTTTATTTTTGGTTCTCCCACAGTGCCTGGTGCAGAACAGGGCACATGAAGGAACCCAATTCATTGCTGTTGAAGTTTATGAATTACAGTTTGTATAGGAGCCACGTGACAAGCATATGTTAGTTGTACCCTTGAGGTGATCCCAGAGCATAAGGTGCACATGAAAGGAGGTCATATTTATGACTCTAGGGCCTAGACTCACCGATACAATAAGAAAGTTTTGGTAAGGTAGACAAGCAGTGAGGAAAGATAGGAGAGGGCTGTCTAGGTTCCGGACTCTGGGATGCGACCTTAGTACTTCGGTTCCTCTGACATCTAGATTAGTTTGTCCTTTTTAGATATTTCCATTTATATTCTGTTAGTATCAAATGGTAGTTAGTTATATAGGTCTTAGTTTTAATAAATTGTTCTACTAATATGGTTTGGCCTTAGTTATGCAAGCACTAAAAGTGAGCAATATAAAGTTAATTTAAGGGATCAAATATAATATTAGGCTGAAAGCCTATTAAAAATCATAGAGGACTATATGGAGGACTTACATTCATAATACAGAGTATGAATATTTTTAGATTCTCTGATATTGGATTTAGACTTGCTTGTTCTGTTTTGTAAAACAAAGAATTGGCCTATATCTTTGATCTGTGTGTCTAGATTTTTTTTTAGTGACAGACACTTTATAATAACTAGAAATAGAAATTCCATCTTTGGTGGTAATATAGTGCAGGGACCTGAGAAGAGAAGGTCTTAAGGTGCTGTTAATTAGCAAAAATCTGAACCTCATAGTCTCAAAGCAATTAAGGCTATTAATTGAATATTTGGATGCTCAGAGGATTGGCTCATATGTGGCTGTACAGGGAACCCTAGGCTTGCATACAGGAGTTACATTCTACAAATAATCCTGAACAATTCAGAAAGAGCAAATATAGGCCAGTGTATGTTTGTCTAGTAGTCAACTGCATATTTGAATAGTAATACATTGCTGGTTATATGCAAAATTGTCTTTTTACTGTAAAGTAAACACTAACAATTCAATCGTTCAGCCTATCTTTTGTAAATATGGCACACTATTGATTCACAGAAAATTCAGTTTTTACCATGGTGATTGTACCATCCTCTGGTTTGATAAACATCTCTATGATTCACCTGAAACTTTAAACACAGTTGGTGGTCACACAATGGCTACAATGTCACACTTAGGCACATTTGGGGGACAGAGGAGAAAGCCATTGCTGATGAGCTCAGAGTGGCAGTGCTTTTATTATCCAAGTCCTTCATAGCCTTTGTATGGGCTTCCTTAGCTGTGGCATTTGATTAACATGTGAACGTACTTCTAAAAAGAAACTTAAAACAAATAGAAGATTACAAAAAAGTTTTCAAGAAAGGAAAAATAATTGTTCCTTTTAGGAGACCTGCAGTGAAAAGTAGTTAATATTTTCAGTAGTGCTTATTATTTTTAATAGCTCTGGCTTTGGGGGAGGTTTCTGCTTCTGCCAGACCCAGGCTTGCAAAGATGCAAACGAGTGTCCACTAAAGAACACCCAGGATGCAGTGAGTCAAGAATGAATTTATTTTCTCACACTGGTTCAGTCCTTTGCACAGTTAAGGAAAAGAGAAATTATATGAATGCTTAAAATCCACGCGTTATCCTCCAAGCTAATGTTGGCCAGTAGCTTTCCATCTATTTGTTTAAACCTTCCAGAAAGTGGCAGAATTGAGTGAGTTGAGGGTTCCCCCAACTTCTTTCCATCTCAGTGTACTTTATGGAGCAGTCTGTAATAGCTTTTTTTTTTTTTTTTTTTTTTTTAAGGCTATGAGGTGTCTTTTTAAAAAGTGGAGGTGCTTAGCAGGCAGTAAAGGATATGAGCACAGAACCTAAACATTCCCAAACAGATCATTTCCATCCTTATTTGAGGAATTATGCATTCATAAGGTTGGTGTGATTTAGGAACAGGCCATTCAAACTGCAAATAGTCATCTTCATGAATGACCAGAGCATATAAAAAACAAATTGTACTTAAGGTCCTAACCCGAGTTTATTGTGCACATATATCTTCTAAAAATGTGGAGTTAACTTACTTAGGGGTTACTGACCAGGGCTTCCAAAAGGCGCAGGAACAGAGAGCTGAAGTCACTAGACTGGGAAGCACGTTTAAGAGTAACAACGCCACCTCTTTGGATCAGAAGAGTTCCTGTTTGTTATGCAATGTGTGCACTTCATTATTTACACAATTTCACTAGGTGACTGGGAGCTGTGTACACAGCCAGGTGAGCCTGCAGAAGCGCCCCAGACTTGACACCGAACACCCTCTGTCTACTGCCTTCTGCTAGCTCTGCCTTTGAAATAATACCTTTCTCTGGAGGAAAAAGAAAAAAAAAGGAAATCCCTAAATCATATCTTACTTCTCTAGATTACAACCATTTTCTTTCTTTAAACGTTTTTAGGAATTAACAGAACTTACTTGGAAAAATTTCCATACTCGTTTCCACTATGCTGAACGGACGATTTAAAAAGTAAATACTCAGAAAATACTAAGATTCCGCTGGAGAGCCTCTTTTTATTGTGTTATGGGGTCTCCCAGCCCTCTCCTTTCTCCTACCCATGGCAGCCCATCTCTCTCCTCCAGGACCCCTTCTTTTTGGTATCCTGGAGTACGAATGAAAATAAATAGGTGAGCAGCCTCTGGGCCAGGCCAGGCACACAGGGGTCCCGAGGGCTGACCTTGGGAGACTTGCGGGCTTCTGGAAGGAAGGCGCGGGAGGCAGAGCAGGAGTCTCCGCTGCGAGGAAGCACCAGGGGCGACCCCGGGGGAAGGGCGGACGGGGATGCGTCGACATTTCCTTGACTTGGGACTGGTCGCCCAAGGCCCATTCTAACTGTCGGCTCTCTGGCCCCCGTGGCCAAAGAGAGAAGGGGGCGGATCCTCGCGTGCCAGACACGCCCCGGCCGGGTATAAAATTCGCCAGGCGCTCGCTCCCTAGGCCACCGCGGCTCCCTTGTTCCGCTGGGGCCTTCGGACGCGCTCCCCGCGCAGGTCTCTGGAACACTCGGGCCGAACGCAAGCCCGATTGCACTCACACTGCAGTTCACACCCGCAGGCGCGCTCGCACCCACATTGCCGCTCACGCGCGCTCACACTCCCCCACGCGCGCTCCACTCCCGCTCCAGCCCCGAGCCCCGCGAAGGCGCAGGCACCGCCGCCGAGAGCGCCAAGTGGCCCCGCGGCCTTCCCATGGCGGACCTGAGCTTCATCGAAGATACGGTCGCCTTCCCCGAGAAGGAAGAGGATGAGGAGGAAGAGGAGGAGGGTGTGGAGTGGGGCTACGAGGAAGGTAAGCGGCCACGAGTCGGGGTGTCCGGGGTCCCGCGGCGTCAGTGTCTCGCCGAGCGCGGGACTGGAGTCCTGCTGCTGCCGCGCGCTCCGAGCACCTCCACGTCCCCTCTTTCCCACGGGGGTCTCCGCCACTTTTCCACTCCCCTGGCGCGTTTCGGGCGGGAGGCGTTCCAGGGAGGCGTGCTCGCCGCCTGCGTTCTCCCGCCGCCTTCGCTGTGGCCCAGGAGCCTTCCGCAGGGCTGGCGTTCGCACCTGCTGCGGTCCGGAGGGCGGGCTAGCCTCCAAGCCATGGCTGTACCTTTTATGTCTTCTGAGTAGTCAAGAAGAGCAGCGGTACATTTTACTTAACACCTGAGGAAGACAGTGTTAGTGTTAAGAATTCTTTTTTGACTTGAAGACTTTGGGGAGAAAGTGTTTCTGCCTCTGGTCTTTTCATGAAGCCTGCTAGCAACGCTCGTCTTTCTAAAGTATGTCCTAAATTTCAGACTGAATCGTTGGGTTTGGCGAGAAGCGGTTGACTCTCTGAAAAACCAGTGTTTCCTAGATTTATTAAAGACCCAGGGCTCCTATTAGAGCCAACCAATAGTGCTGATGTTTACTACATATGTTGAAACCAATATAGAATATATAATTTTAATTATAAAAAATTTGGAAAGAGTATGGGAATATATATGTACATAGATATATACATATGCACACTTTAAAATACTGCACTTGCATTTCTGATAAGGGGCGTCTATTTACTAGCATGAGAGTTAGGGTTTTTGACTGTCATAAAGTATGTTTAAAGTTACAGCTATTTCCCAAATACTGAATGTAATTTTGAGCTCATAAGCAGAAGAAATTGTTCTGGTATTCTTCTTTTCTAATCACTTAAAGATGACCCACATTTCCTAGAGTCATAAATTATTATGTCTTTGTTGACAAATACAAATAGAATATTTTGTTAGTCCGGGATTTTGTATATGGTATTTGATAATATCAGATCATTCAAATAATGAATGCAAAAACACATAGAATTACCATATTTCATCTGTATAGTGATGGTATCATTACTGTCTTCATAATATCAAGGATTCTAAGTGTTTGGTTTTTACATGTTAAATTTTACTGTAACTTATTTTTTAACCTGTTTTTAATGTATTTCATTTTGTTCTTAGGTGTTGAGTGGGGTCTGGTGTTTCCTGATGCTAATGGGGAATACCAGTCTCCTATTAACCTAAACTCAAGAGAGGCTAGGTATGACCCCTCACTGCTGGATGTCCGCCTCTCCCCAAATTATGTGGTCTGCCGAGACTGTGAAGTCACCAATGATGGACATACCATTCAGGTTATCCTGAAGTCAAAATCAGGTATTTTAGAAAATATGTTTGTGTGGTCTTTTAAACTAGAAGTCAGCATGGAGTTATCGAACTGTGATTTAACTTGCACAATTTAAAAAGTACAACTGACGTATCTCTATGTTCAGGATACCTTTATATTATAATATAAAGCATTTTTGGGAATTACCTTCTGAAACAATTTGGAAAGGATAAAAGGGTGAAATTATGATGATTATCAGTCGGTTGTTCTGCTTCTTACGATGTTACTGGAACAACATTGGTTTGATCACCTTACACCTTGTGAAATATGAGGACAGGTACATGCAGGTGCACTGATCTGCATTTTGTCCAACATTGTTGGTTAGCTTAAATCACTTAGATAATCATAATTCTGTTTTGCTACTGTGTGAAACCAAAAATTAGGATTTATTGACATAATGTGGCATTCAAGGTAGACTTCTCAGGTTAATTTTCTCTACTGTATTAATTTGCTGAAAATAGTTTTAACTAATAACAGTAAAAAAACCCTTTAAACTCAGTCAGAGGTTTAAGTGGTAAACAAACCTCTTGCTTTTGTTTATTTATTTAAGTTCCATCCCATGAAACCTCCCCTACCCCTTGCAAACCTATTTGAGATGGATCTGAAATGTTCTGTGGAAAAGGTGTTAGGCAATTACCAAGGAAATCAGTTTTTGGCTTTATTGTAGGAAAGAGGAAATCAGATTTTTTAAAAATGTAGCATTAATAGCATGCATTTCATAGTGAATAATAACTATCTTTTTCTTTTGGGAAAAATTAAAGTATGTTGAAATATTAGGATGTACTTGATAAATAGAGACTGTGCTCAAACATTAATTCCAAGTTGATAAAGTTGATGCCTCAAACCATAAAATCTTTAGGTTTGTTATTAATCAAGGCAGCTGTTGATTTCCAACTATGGATTTATTTTATTCATTGTAAACGTTTCTAAGCTTTAATTTAGAATCCATGAGATAGTCATAGATTCATGTCTTCTCCCTTGCTGTTGTGAGTTTAGTCAGCATGTGAGCATTGCCAAAAAGAGTTTCTGGGCTTTATATGTACTTAGAGTCAGTTTAAGATGTAAATTTCAACTTGAATTACAATTTTTTTGTGGGTGTGCTTTTAGCTTTGATGGGACATTACGTAGTTTTTTGAAAGGATATTGTAAAATTATTGAATGCTGGCTGTTCTGGCATATAAAAAGCAATTTAAAGAAGTACATATGTGTGGATATGTTGAGATGCTTTGAACTTCTGGAAATGAATGTTTATGTATCTACAAAACAAAAATACATTTCATGTCAGGTGCCATGATGAATATTGGTTGCATATAAATGGATAAGACAGTTCTTGAGGATTCGTAGCGTAGTGAAAACCCAGTTCTTTAAAGTGTTAGTGTACACATGATGTAGCAAGTGTTACAAAGGGTTGTGGGAGCAGAGAGGAATGACTAAACACATATACCCCACTGCATCTGTATGTGACTAGTCTTGCTCTGAGATCAAATTCACTTCAGCAAGTTGAATTTACCATTTTCTTCTGCTACCTTCTCAAACACTCACAATTTTCTTTAATCTTCTGCCTCACTCTAAAACAGAGACTGTGGACCAACATCTGGGCCCTCTCACCATGAAGTGTGTTTCTTCCTCACTTAGCATTTTGTGCTTTTCTCTTCCTCCTTTCACCCTTGCCCGCTGAAGAAGAACTGTCTGCATTTCTGTCTAGGCCTTATTTGGACACTCATGATCCAGAGCCCATTTTCCTGCCTCCCTGGAGACCTTCCTCCCTCAGATTCCCCTTCTCCTCTCTGTCATGATAATAATTTCCTCCTTATTGTTCCTTCCGTTCCAATATTTCTGCAAACTCAAGAAAAGTAACCAAAATACCATGTCTTGAGTAGTTGTTTTTTCCCCCAGGATATTTAAGCTCCTCAGAGGAATCGTTTGTAAGCTCTAAATACCCTGTCATTCACTTATTTAAATAATATTTTATCTTTATTGAGATAGAATATAAACAAAATAGTTGAATAGGCCGGGTGTGATGGCTCACACCTGTAATCCCAGCACTTTAGGAGGCTGAGGTGGGCAGATCACTGGAGGTCAGGAGTTCGACACCACCCTGACCAACATGGTGAAACCCCACCTCTACTAAAAATACAAAAAAGAATAAAAAAATAAAAAATAATTTAAAAAGGCTGCTTGCGGGGCTGAGGCAAGAGAATTGCTTGAACCTGGAAGGCAGAGGTTGCAGTGAGCCGAGATTGGGCCACTGCACTCCAGCCTGGGTGACAAAAGCAAAACTGTGTCTCAAAAAAAAAAAAAAAAAAGTTGAATAGTACTCTTTCTGCCTGTGGTTATACCCTACTCTTCCCCACCTATGGTTGCTGTTCCCTAGTGACAACTACTTTGAAACTTTCTAGCTGTTTCTTTTGTGGTTACCTCCAAGAATGTAAGAATATAATAATGCTGTTATGCTTTGATATGTAAGCTATATGTGAACTCTCTACTATGGAAGATGAGGCCAACTTTCTTTCTTTCTTTCTTTCTTTCTTTCTTTCTTTCTTTCTTTCTTTCT